CCCCCCCGTTTCATCCCTATATCCAATCTCTAAATCCTAATAATTCATTGGTGTTATTTTAGCATGAATCTACCCAATTCTTTCCATCACAGCACCACCATACTTCAGGCTCTCAGAATCTCACAATTGAATTTCCAAAGTAGTCTCCTAACTGGTCTCGACTCCAGGGTTACTCCCTCTCTCTCCATTCTCCACCCTGCTATCTTTCTGAACTATAAAAGGGATTCCAGTGTTTAAAACCCTTCCCTTGGTCCCTACAGTCATAAGCTCCTTCCCTGTATACACAGCCCCCTCGCCTGTTGTAGCTTACTTTCTCACCACACATCACTCCAGCTAATTCAACTAACAGCAGGTCCTAGATGCTCTCTTGTTTTTTCTTCTCTCCTCAAGCTTTGGTTTTTGGTTTTTGTTTTTATGTGCTTGGAATGCCCCTTTCCCTACCTCTAACTCCTAGGAGGAGAGACAGGCATAGAGAAGGGGAGCCCGAGCTGGAACTAGAGACGGACATGCACATACACACATTGTGATGTGTACAGAACATGATCTAGACAAATGCCCACTAAGGCAATCCCTAAGGAATGGGGTTTCAGAGGAAATGTTAAGAGACTGGTATTGCATGATGCACTCCGTACTTTTCTATATGGTTTAGATTTGTTTTATAGTGAATAGTTTAACTTATCTGTCTATATTTTTAATTACATTTGACCATCCTCACCTCCACATTTACTGATTCAGCGGAAATGGGTCCCAGATTCTGATCTCCCAAAGACGCCCAACAGACTGCTAGTCAGTCAAATTTGGGCACTGTGGTTGAAATAATTATTTCTAATATAATAAAGCAATTGACATTTTTACTTTTTAAGAAAAGCTCCAACTCTATTAAATAACCATTTTTTATATTTCCTTTTATTTTGTAATAGCTTAATTCCACTACAAATACACATTCTCTAAGCATATTAGATTTGAATTATCTGTAAGAATATAATAGACTTGTCAGCCACAACAGCCACATTTGAATAAAGGACTTAAATAATCATTGCAAAGCATGTATTTGTGCAGTTAGTTTCATAAACCATTTTCAAATTAGGGCAAAATAAGAAAAAAAAAACTACAAACATCAGGATTTCTTAAATTCTAAATTTTAACACTAACTTAAATATCATTTGATTAGATCACAAAACAATGTATATTCTCAAAATATAAAGAAGAAAGCTATTACAAATATCAGCTTTGCTATACTATATAACTATTTCACTAAACATTTTAAGTTTTTTACTTCGTTTTTATAATTAACCTTTGAAAATATCTATAATGCCCTATAATTCAGACATCAAAGCATCTATTTCTTTAAACTTGTTAGTTATATTTTCAATACACTCCCCAGCTTTTAATTTTAACCCATCAATTACAAGATAGTCCTCTTCATAGTGGGTTTCAAATGGACTGCTTGCAGAAGCTTCAGGACTCCATTGAGGTAACTGTAAAAATAACCATACATTTTATCAGAACTACATTACATGTACTTTACGACTAGGCTTAAATATTTGAACAAAATATAAAGTAGTTGCTAAGTCCTCAAACCACAGCAGTTACATAAAGTTTTCAGTTATGGTGGGGTGGCCAAATAATGACCCCTATGTATACTATAATGTATAGCAAATGTGTTAGTATAGAAATAATTTATTTAGGTCCTGTCTGTTCCCCAACACTACATATTTTTTTTAATTTTATGCTTTGGGAAAATGTGATCATTTTAATTCTGTGAGTTTTCTATATTTATTTTTAAAATTACTATTATAGGGACTACAACTTAAAACTGTTGTAGTCACATTTTCTGTGATCATCTTCTCAGAAGCATCTGCATTACTCAAACAGGAATAGTTTTCTCGAGCTGAGGTGGATAGGACACTGGTAACAATACATGCACGCACACAGGAGACTTATAACTTCAAGGTTCATTAGAGTCAAGTTCCCGTGACATTCAAGAAAAAAAAAGTAGATTAAATAAGTATTTTCATGTATCAAAAATGTACTGTAATACAAATACTTATTAAGTAAACTGTTTTTAATAAATGGCTTATCTAACTTGTGAATTATTCGGATGGATTTTATAAAAATCTGAAATTGATTCCTTCCCACTGCTTGCCAAGTCAGGGCATGCCAACCAGTGTTACTACTAGCTCAAGAAGAACGTCATTAGGAAGGTGACTCTCCTGAGGAAAATAATCTCATAAAGTATTTCAGTGACAGATAGAAATGAACTATTATCATCTCTGTGTATGCTTTTTCCATGTTGCCACTCTCTCCATCAGTATGGATGCCTGAGAGAAATCAATGTGAAAGCTCACATGTGACATGGATGATGAAAACATCATCAAATTTACAACTTTGAAAATAGCTCAAACAATATCCGCTCTGAGCATGCATATGCTCAGAACTATAAAATGATCAGGTGGTTCTTTTTGGTGTGTTAGCTCATAAGAAGCCACTTTTTCCTAAAAACAAAACACAGCTCCCACTGTAACTAAAGTTACCTTTGGAAGCCATATTAACTA